TGTTTGAGTGTGAATATTTTTGGAATAATTTTATTAACACCGTGCGTAAGATTTTATATGTTGATTTACTGTTTTATTAATTCAGCTGAAGGACGAATTTAACCCTATAACCAAGTTTTACAATGATTTTATGCTAGAGAAGAGGATGATCCCTCTCTTTGAAGATTTCACTACATGAAGTGTATTTTCCAAATTTGTAAATTGGTTTATTTGTTTACAGTTTAAGACTTAATGCCGTGTGTGTGACCCGTGACTATCAATGACAATTTGGCAGCGCCCTTTTATACTCCCTCTAAGGTTTCTGATCGTTCTAACGGGTGTGGCTGCCCATTCTTAGACCAACATGGCTCCATGCTCATGGATGGTTCTGGGTTGCAGCTGACGAGCTGAAATTCTAACATGCTGCTCATTCCATATGTGTTCTATTGAATTTAAGTCAGGTGAACGAGCTGACCAGTCCATGCGCTCAATAGACTCCCTCTCTAGGTAGTCCTGGACCTATGGGGCGAGCATTATCTTCCATTAAAATGAACTGATCGCTGCTAGCTTAAGCATACAACCTAACCTGGTTGTCTAAGATGTCACCTATGTATCGCTGACCTGTCAATGTGCCTCTATTTACCACCACCAGGTCGGTTCGTCCATCCCAGCTGATGCCTCCCTACACCAAAACTGACCAACCTCCGAGGTAGTCATGCTCAGCAATATTTGCAGCTTGAAACCGTTCACCTCGTCTTCTCCAGACTCTAGCACACCTATCTGTGAAGGCTATGCAGAACATGGACTCATCAGTGAACATAACGTGTCTCCAGTGTTGCATGATCTATCGTGTATGCTCCATGGTCCATTGCAAACGGGCCTGGAGATGTCAATGTGTCAAGGGGATACTTATGCAAGGTCTTTGCGACCGCAAATTACCTTATTACAGCCTTCTAAGTATCGTTTGCGTGAAAACAAGGACCCCGCAGCGTTAGCAAGGTCATTTCGAAAAGAAATTACTGTCTGAGCGACCAAAAACCGATCCTGAGCTGATGTGCCGACCTCCAGCATGCCTCCTGACGGATGTACCATTTTACCGGTATCTCTCGCCGGCTATGGTGATCACGGCGTGGTGTACACCAGGGCTGCACCAACCTGGTGGAAGGTGGCCTACTGCTGCACCACCTATACAGCCCGCCATAACTCTGCTTCTCTAATGTTACCATTCGCCATATCGAAGTGACAGATGTAAGAAATGTAAGCCACTGAATGACAATAAGCCGGTAACGTCGCCGTATTACATAAGACATGTGATTGTACACCCCATCAAAGAACATGAGAATATTTGCGTGGATGCTTTTTATGCTACCTAGACGAGTTGTAATGGATTAGTCAACACGAATTCATGTCAGGGGACTATCTTGAAACAATGCTGAATCAAAATTTTCAAAATTGAAAATAGTAGCTGTTATTTTACTTACACCTTATGTTGACTCCGACAAACTTCCACTAAATGAGGACTTTCCTTCAATGTAACTCATAATTATTTCTCATAGTATTCACATTGTTGAAATCAATATTAACAATAAAAATCTAAATGCTTTAACGGAAATTTATTCCAATCTTCTTATGTTAACCAGTCTCGCTATGTATAAACACTGAATACCTAACCCCTATAGGTGATTTGAATACAAAACTTTGATCATACCAGGAAGAACAATCTTTGCATGAATGATCATCTATAGAAATCTAATCTAACCATCTAATGTTATGCTATACTGTTGTGTTTACTCCGCCGATAATAATACACGTGTTTGTTAATAAACTTATCTATTATTACAATAAATAATATTTGGCACTAGCATGCTTTAGATTTTATATTATGTTGATGCTTTTGAAACTATTTTTTTTAAATACGGTTATGAGTGCGAGTGTGAATGCATGTGTCGTCCATGTCTCTTTGTGTTTTTGTTGTTGTTGTTGTTGTTTGTGTTTAATTTTTCTTTTCTTTTTTATTCTTTTTGGTTCTTTTTTGTAATCGTTGTTTTGTCTTTTCTTTCACGACATTAGTTTGACATCTGGTATACCCGTTCCTATGCATGAAAAAAATAATTGTAAAACCACTGTGGCATGTGCTTCGACTCACAAATGGTTATGTGACGAAGCAGTGTACATTCTAGGATGGAAAAATATTTTAATAATTCCTATTTGAAAAAAAAAGAAAACATTTTTGAATGTGAATTTATGAGGGAAAAAAACTCCTAAGACATAGATTTAAACATTTATTATTGTTGTATTTTGTTGTTGTTTTGTGTTTGGCGAATTTTTTTATTTTTTTTTTTTTTTTTGGGGGGGGGGTGTTTTTGTTTGTTTGCTTACTTTGTTTTCAAGGGGAAGTGGTCTTTTTTTAAGTCTTAAAAGGATTTAAAGTGAAAATAAAAGAATAGCAGAATTTTTCTTTATCCTAGCATGTATCGCACCCCGTTGGTTGTAATTCGACTCCACTTCTCTCGATATAGCAGGTGCATTGATTACAGGATTTTTATAACTTTTTCAAAGGCCCGGAGATGCAAAAAACAGTCAGAAGTCGAACCTAATCTTAAGCTTAGATTGAAATCATGTTTTTTTTTCACAGAATTAGATGGAAATATTACTTTAAAGAAAGTTCTTTTTAAAAGGCAAATTGTGTGCTTAAAGAAATAAAGCGACTGGTATAGATAGTCGTTTATAGAACCAAGTGATATTTTATCTTTTGCATATCACAGAGCTATTTAATAGCATTATAGAATCTGGTATGTTTCCCGAACTCTGGAAAAGAGGTTTTGTAGTACCTTACATAAACGAGAGCACCCCAAAGGAGGGACAATGTACACCCGAATGTAAACTTGTTTGAGTAATCAAAAAAAAAATGTTTCAGTTAGAGAGAGACCCAAGATACTGAAAAACGTTTTATCTCAACCATTCTTATGATACAATAATACAATATTACTTTCAAGGGTAGGGGCATATTTTTACCCCAGGTGCATGATTCCTAAAACTTTAATACTAGGTCTACTTGGCAATGCAATATGTAGAATACAGGGGTATAGTGGCTATCCACAAAAAGATAAGATGCGTTTTCCTTTACATTAGTCTGCTAAGTAAGTGATCCCAGGGCAGAGCTTCATTTTAACTGAGGGCAATGATTAATATATCGATTCTAGAAATCTACAAATTGATTATGACAAGTATCTAAGCTGTTGCCTTTGTAGTTTAACATGTTAGGATTAAAATAAGTTTTCAGATAATAGAAGATATAAAATGTGATACCTCTGGGTAATGGCCAATATTGGCCCTAGGGGCATGATTTATATCAATTTTGTAAATGTCAACACGGCAATTCTACATGAAAACTATTCAAACTCCGGACTCTGTAGTTTTACAAAAGACTGAAATGTGTTTTCTTATACAGGACTATATCCAAACAAGTTGCGAGATGTCTTTTTATGCGGCCTTTTCCGTCAGTGTCCGGATAAGCTTCTCTTACTAGGAATAATCGGCGAGATTTTCCGAAACGGAATGGATCACTGTCTGTAGTGTAAAAACTTACGTACATGATATTTTCCGACTTTTCGTTAAATGATGTGTTCACCTCAATGTTAATTTTTCGTTTTTACAAAAATAAGTAATACTTCTGCAAAAACGATTTAAATTCTTTCTATCGGTTCAAAAGATATAGAGCGGACAAGAAAACTGACTGTGACCTTGAGCTGAGGAAGGTCAAACCTTCGCTCTGCATATCGTATAAATTATGGATAACAATTCTGCCAGGACGATTCAATATCCTTTCACCGGTTGAATAAAATACAGACAGGACACGAGATTTCTAACAGTCGCACGGACGACCAGGTACATAACTATTTCTTGTGTATAAAAGAAAATGTACAATATTACAGAGGAATAACTTTATTGAGACATCTTGGTACATAGTTTACTAGCATTTTATATCAAAGGATAACTAAATGGTGCCATGAAAATAACATTATTCCTGATGCAAAGTGATGTAAAACATGGAAGAAATGTGGTTCTCAAACAAGTGATCTCAATTAAAAAAAAACTGTTGAAAGACAATATAGTCGTGAGCACAGTAACTTTCTATAAAAAATGATTCCAAGTTGTATTTTCAATGTTCTTACAAGACTTTAACTTGTTCCCTTCTCGAAAATTCGAAGGATTAGATTTTCTGTCTAATAGTGTATGTCGCATTTAAGCACAAATGATTTTGAAGGTTTCCTTGAATTGTTTAATATGTTGTTTTATGCTAATGACACGGTTATATTTTAGCAGAAAGTCCTAATGTGTTACAAAAATTATTAAATGCAATTTATAATTACTGTAATACTTGAAAGTTAAAACTACAAACACAAAAATGTTGTATTTTGTAAATAAAATGATATTGTATAGAGTTTGAGGGTAACATCCTAGAGATCGTTGATTGTTTTGACTGTCTTGGTGTTCATTTTTCATTTAGTCGGAAAATTTTAGGAAAAAAAAAGGAAGAAAAATTAATTAAGCCCAAAAATGTTTTCTGTGTAAACAAAGTCTCTTCAGCTCGCCATGCAAGTCTTTTGGTTTATAGGGGAAAATGCGAGTCGCGTTGGAATTGATGGCACTAGAAATGAAATAAATTTATGCGTCTTTTTTAATCAAGGGGGAAACATAAAATTTTACGGACAGACATGGAATGGAATTGACAAACAGACGTATGCGCAGTTCGGAATATTCTTTAAAACTTCGTTTATGGGGACTACTGATATTGAGAGTATATAATACTTGTTTATTAAGTGTCTCATCTTTGTACACAACGTCATATAAAATACATATAAAATACATTATGAATGTATATTGCCAATCTATACGATTTATAAAAGACAAAAATGTTGAACAACTATTTACACATACAAATCTAAAAGAAACACCTTTACATATTAAACCTGTGTTCAAAGGAATTTACTAAAGAAAATTAAAATTATAATATTGGGATAACAATGTACCTTAAGTAAATATTTAATAACGGAACTCCAAAATTATGCAAAAATAATGGGTTAGACAAAACACCGTACGTATCCGTTCTATGTATTACATGTAATTACTTTAATGTCTGGCCGCAAAGGTGTGATTGAGTATGATTCCATTGTTGCTATAAAAAGTGACCAAGTGTCACAGTTACAAAAAATAAAATCACCACTGTTACAAAAGATAAAATCACCACACTTATTTCTGCTTTCGACTTCTGAAGTTTTAACTGGTAATAGTCATTTTTAATCTTATATAAATCTCTTTCCACTTTCAATTTATTCACTTCCTCTTTTAATTTATTTGTCTCTTCTTGGATCTTCTCGATTGCAGCCTCATTTTTCTTTTTTTCTGATTTTAATACACCTATCTGCAGTTGTTTTAAGTTTGCTTAAATTAAAGAAATGAATCGTGATGTTAATACTTTCAATATTGTTTGCATATAAAGTATAAAATTGCTCAAAAGGGAAAATTTAAAAGAAGATGTAAAGTCTAGTTAAGTCTTGATAAAGAACAGAGATGTGCTTTTGTATGACATAACATTTCACATAAACTTTAAGCTCGACCAAATGTTTGCGTCTTACAGATTAAATAACATACAATGGATTTTAATATGAACCTTACCGGTACTAGATGTCCTTTAAGTTCATATATGTCCAAACAATAAACCAATGCCAAAAACAACAAACTATAATAATCTCTTTGGAATAAATCAAGCAAAATGTCCATTCTATTAGGCTTATTCTCTTTTTAAATACTAAACTAACTGAAATTACTACAATATTATTACCTGACAAGACACATTCTTCTTCATCTTCACCTGACAAGACACCTTCTTCTTCATCTTCACCTGACAAGACACCTTCTTCTTCATCTTCACCTGACAAGACACCTTCTTCATCTTCACCTGACAAGACACCTTCTTCTTCATCTTCACCTGACAAGACACCTTCTTCTTCATCTTCACTTTTTGACGGTTTTCTAAATATATAAGACATAATAAAATATAATAAGTTAACCAAATAGTGCTACATTGCTATTACACCAAGTGGAATCAGTCATTTACAATACATGCTCTGTCATACCCTGAAAGTACCCTTTCGAACATAGAACAAAAGAAGTACTTTATTCTCTTAATTGTACACCATTAATTTGTGTGCACTATACGGCGATAAGCATTTGTAACTTTGAATAGAGTATGTCATCCCTTCTGTGTGTTTTTGCCATCGTCAGATGGTTCTACTATGATCCTGAACAGGGGTTCCCTTGCTAAACAAATCATAACAAAGTATTGAGAAATTGGTCAAAATTGCAACAAGCGAGGTTTTGCAAAATAGCAAGAAAAACCTTTACAAATTCATTAAGGGCCGTTTAAATCTTTTCATGATATCTCAACAACTTTAAAAATTAAGGCAACTTTACAAAAAAGATAAAATCAAAACTTTTCTCCATGTAATTTTTTCCATAACGTGTTGAAATATCAAAAGAACTTCAGAGCCGTTTTATATTTTTTTTTACAAGAGTTCAAATTAATCGGTTTTCGAAAAATAAATAAATAAAAAGATAATGACGACTAACTACGGACAAAGGGAGACCACAAAATCTCACAATGGGCAGGTTGTATTGTGAGCTTAAAAAGACGGTGTAAAACAACTTTAAAAATTAAGACTGTTTAGTAGTGTGCCCCTTGACGCTCTGTTCGAATGGATTTATATATGGGGTCTGGCAATGCTCAATGATAGGTCATTTGAAAAAGACAGTTTTATCTACAGATAACATTATATACTACATTAATAAAGCAAATAAGCTTTTACTTTAAACATACTTACAATTTACAAATTTTCCGGCATGACAAAATAGCAAGTGATATTGATTCGAATGGACCAACCAAAAGTGTATGGAGGCTATTCGTTTCCAAAAATCCACCCTTTGAAACTTGACAATTCATACTTCGGTTCTACTAAACATATTAGTAAAAATCTAATAGTCGATCCGAGAGTAACATACTGCACTGGTGTTAAGCGTTTTCATTATCTCGATTTGACAAAATGGAAGCTGGAACATGCAACTTAGATAAATTGCAAACTGTATTTACAAATGTTTAACAACAAACTGTATTTAGAAATGTACTTCGAATGCGACATGTAGAAATGTAAACGAAAGAACGTACACAACACGTTTTATATCCATACATCATGACGTTGAGAATGTAACTGCATCAGTTACCGCTCTCGGATTGACAACACCACAATTTCCTTTTACATTCTAACGCGATTAACATTTGTAAACGATTTTGCAACTTCCATATATGGCATTATTACGGAAATAGACGAAAATTAAAAGGCGGAGCCAATTTTCACAAGAGCAGAAGAAAAGAGAGGCAACTCTTAATGTACAGTAATAATGAGTCAAACATATGTCAATTATAGTCTCTGATTTGTTAAAACGTATTCTAGCACAGGATATTCAAGTAATACAAAAGTGGTTAAGAAATATTGCAACGGTACGAATTGTTGAATTCGTTCACAGAAGTATTCTTACTAATTTGTTTTACATTCAACAGTCAGTACTGAACAGTAATTATGTGCCTTTTTTCTTTGAAGGACTATAATGGGTGATAGAAAAACCCAAAATTTTGATCAATACTAGTGTATGCAAAGTTTACTTTTGATAATTTCGTGGTATAACCAAAAAAACTTGTGAATTTGTCCCATCTTAATGTTGAAATAAATATTCAGTGTATCCTAGCATCTCTGTATACATCCATTGGGAGATGTTTTGAGAGTCATATGATGTGATTTATAAGGTGGCACAGAGGTGACATTTGTGCGTTTTATCTATCTCATGCGCACGAGATACTATGCCGTGCCCACGAGATAATTATGTTTTGCGCACGAGATAATTAACTTACCAGATTACACTATTTATATGAATTTTCCTAGTTAACTAAAATATGCCACAGTATAGTATCTCGTGCGCACGGCATAATTATTTCATAGCCACGATTTAGAAACTAATGATCACGACATAACATATTGTGTGCACAACTTAATTATCATGTGGCTACGACTTAGTAGCTCTTGGCCACGACATAGTATCTCGTGCGCACGTCTGTGCTTAGATATAGCCTTTTATTATTAAATATATGTAAACTAATGTAGCTTAAGGTCTTCAGCGAACCCCTTTTTATGCATTTTACTAAATCCATTACAGATGTTTTACCTTGAAATGTGTGTTTAACGATAACAACGCTGATTCGTGTTCTTGTTTTCTCAGACCGCAAAAGGAGAACCAGTCGCTGGCGATGAATTCCGAAAATGTGCGGATTTGCGATGACTTAGTGGGCGGTGAAATAGGCGGAGCATATTTATCTCTTATTGCAAAACGTGTACAGCTGGATTATGTTGATCCAAATCATAATGGTTGGACAATGTAAAGCTTCTGTTTTGTCGGCGTATGCACGAACAATGAGTATTCCGCATGCTAGATGAACACTTGGTATTGCTACTCTCAGAAAACAGTTATAATGTTTTGTCGTTTAACAAAATGTATTTTGTTGAAATTCATGTTTACTATGTTAAACCGGCAAACTCAATCCAAAAATGCAAACTGGATTTTTATATACAAACAAATACAAGTGTACATCTCAGATCAACTAGACTGGATTTTTGGCACAAATAGCCTCCATAAAAATAAAGCAAATGACGCAATTGTCATGGTATTGAAAACAATATGATCGTCCTAAATTCTTACTCTTAAAGAATAATTTCAAAATTTTAAAGCTGCCTTAAATAATATGAACAATATTTTTGTAATAATAACATAAATGAATTTTACTTCTTGGAGTTGAGGTAGTTTCTCAGCTTATCAGCTCTATCTTGGTATTGCATACACTTTGCTCTTATACACTCTTTTGCTCTATCACTCTGTGCTTCATCTAACAAAATAATTAATTAACCAGTTTAGTTTTTACATTTTTGTATGGGTTGGTTTGGTTTCACTTCGCACCGACACAGTAGAGGTCATTTGGAGATTTTCTGTAAGTTAGTTGGATAGCTTCCTTACATGAAAGAAACCCAATCTCTCGATCATTTTCCTGCCATCCCTAACGGAATTCGGACTCTCAATGGTGAAGGGCAAGTGGTTTGTAGTCAACGTTCTTAACATTATCAACCACACCTGATTAACCACATATGATTTACATTGATTAAGGAGATATTTATGTTCTATGGACACATAATAAAAACAATTACTAACAGAAACAAGCAATTATCATAGTATTGCAAGCAACCCATAAGTCCCCTACCGGTTAGAACCCCAGCAACATTCTGAAGGGCCATTGGCCATTCACTAATGTTTCAATTGTTCTCTATTTTAAGTAAATTTGTTGGAAAAGTTCTTTAAAAGTGATCACAGGAAACAGTTTTTATGAACAGACAAACAGACGGACTGAAGGACACTCTAAAGTTAATTTTTTAAACATCCCTGTTACCAAAATATAACATTTTTTAAAGCAAAAGAGGAGATAACTCTTGAAATAAAGATGCAAGATACATGATGTGAGTGTTAGCCAAGAAGAAATAGTAATGAAGCTGTTCATAAGGAATGTTTATTTTGAATTTGAAGTAAAAGAAAGTTAAACAAATGAATAAGAAAATACAAAGTTTAAGGAGGAGATAATTATTGAAATATGGATAGTAGATTTATAAACCTTGTCATTTTATTATGATGTGGGAGTTTGAAGTATATCCTATAAGTAATGAAGAAGTTGGAGTAAAATATACCAATTACGAATAAAATCTCAGTTCAAGGGGGACATAATTCTAGAAATAGTCTTGCTTAAGTATTTAACCTTCTGACAAATGAATTGAGTGATAATAAGAAATATATGAAGTTTGAAGAAGATACATTAAGAAATAAAGAAGTTATTAAAGAAAATACATTTTTTCATGAAAATTCTAAGTTCAAGGGAGGCAATTCTGATAATTTTTGTGCTAGAAATGGAAACCTTGTCACATATGATGTGGTTGATGACCAGAAACTTCTATTTGAAGTTTGAAATAAATACCTTAAGAAATAAAGAACTTCTGGTGAAAAAGCCTAAAAACTAGAATCAGAAATCTTGACGAGGTTGCCGACGTTTGTTAGGTATGACAGCTCTAAATATACTCCCTATAGTCAAGATTAAAATGATGTGTATAATTTGTGAATAATTTCCCTACTACCATCTATCCATGTTTTAAGTTTCATTTAAAATTTTAGCTCTTTTTGACTAATCATAAATATTGTTATATTTACCATGTTTTAAGCCAATTTGTTGCCATGGCAACCAGTTTTTTTCAAAATAAGAAGAAAAGAAAAAGAAATGCATAATCTCCAGACTGCCATCTACCCATATTTCAAGTTTCATAAAAATATTTCAGTACTTTTGTATTATCACTAGATCCAGTTTATGTGTTAAATTTGCCCTATTTTCAGTCTATTTGTTGCCATAGCATCCAGAATTTTCAACATAGGAAGAAAAAAGAATAACGTGCATAATCTCCATATTGCCATCTATCCATGTATCAAGTTTCATAAAAATATTTTCAGTACTTTTTGCGTGATCGCGGGATCCAGTTTTGTGGACTGACGGACGGACTGACGGACCGGTAGGGGACTAAAAATTTTTAAACCAACTCGTTGTTAATTGTATACGTAAATAAGGACTTCACACAGCAAACTTCGTGTCAGAACAGTGCTTTACCCTCTAACACTCAGAAGCATACACCCTATTAAGAGACATTCAAACAAAAAAACAAAAATTCAATCTGAAATCAATAATGAAAGGTTTATACTGTAAGTAATTACAGATTTTCATATCTTAGCTTGTATAATTGCAGAGTTCATGAAATTATTAAACATGTAGACATTTACCTTCAAAGTTGTTAAAAGTCAGTCTTTATGAAATATCACTTACTTTGTTACTTAATCTCATGTATTTACTGATTTCTTGGTTACATTTATACAAATTCATGGAGGCTGACATTTTTGTTGTTGTTGTTGTTGTTGTTTTTGGTGACTCTGCGATTTTTACGTTTATGTGATAATTACTCATTATAGGACTGAGTTAACCATTAGAAAATATACCTCAATATTATTTTGTCTCAGAAACGCTTCACGGTCACTTGAAATTATGAATTATTGTTATATTTTACGATTCTGCTTTTGAATAGCAAAGCTCCATTTCGAGCGTCTTTAACTCAGCCATATTTCGATGATTTTATGAAGATCAGCCACTTTTTGTCATAGTGTTGTATATCAAAATGATTGTTATTGTACCAATTGTATTTTATAAGTTTTACATGTAAATTACTTACTATTGATGAGTAAAAGTCAATATGTCATGAGTGGAGTCTCAGAAAATAAACGGTAGCTTGTAATTTCTGCCGTTTACCGTTCATTGATTTCATTGGCTAACGGTCTCCGGACAGTAGTTCATTGTTTAAAAAGGTCACACCCCTCTTTCTGAGACTCCATCCATTGGTTGTTTTAGATAACGTGGACACAGACCAAAGTTAAAAAAACGGGCGGTGACCAGATACATTTAGTTGCGTACTGTACGGTTCTTTGGCCGGCAATATTTGAAAAGTCAAAGAGTATTTATACTTGATAGTATAAAGTAAGTCCGTCTTATCATCCGTCCATTATGTCCGTTTTATTAGTATTCGAGTTGTGTCCACTGGTATTAATATCGGATATGAATCTATTGACATTAATCCGTTAATAAATTATCGTCTGCAACATTATACTGTATAGATTTATTTAGATGCTGAACGTTATTTATAATCATAGACAACATCTTCGTATAATAATAGATTTTTATGAACTGTTCAAACAATAAAACTATTGTTAACTTTAAAACTCTTCTTTGTAATTCTGACTACCACCGGCTATTACAATATACTGTTCAAAGCTCGTAGTGGCTCTTGTAAACGAAACCGTTCCGAAAGGGGTGATTAAACATTAGTGATAGCCCCAGCAATCTCTGATGCAAAACGTAAAGATCAAAATCATATTTCTACTCACTTTTGATTGCATAAAGGAAATACTCTACTCCATGCTCATACAGCTTTAAGGCTTCGTCATAATTTTTCTTTTTATCTTCTTCTGTCGCATTTGTTACAAGCTCAATAGCTTTCTATAATTTGAAGAAAAAAAAATTTGATGATAGAAAATGAAAGTTTCACACATACTAGTAATAGAGAATAAAAAAGTATGTATTTTATTCCATAGCTTTTTGGGCCATCGTACATGTATATATAAATATATTTGAATTGTAAACATCTATGTGGAAATCGAATATGAGTATCCTCTGACTTCACTTTAGGGGGGAGTAGTATCGAAAACGATGTATACGGTAGAAGTTTCCAAAATGTAAAAACAATTGATGAACAAACCATTTTTGAATAAGGAGTGTTATTGAGATTATCTTTAAGTGTCTGCAAACTACAAAAGATACCGTGTCACCACTTAATACCTTACATTCCTTGTATCTAACTATTCGATATGAATATTCTAACTAAAGTTCAATAGAATACTCTATTAATATTAACTTAAGAATTTAACTGAAATTTAAAATTTTTAATTTTAGATTTTGTTCATTCGATGTCGTACCAATAATTTATATTAACATAGCTATGACCGAAACGAGTAACACGGTAAGTAAATGGACCATACTATTTTATGCTAAATTAGTTTATAAGAAATGAATACGCACATACGGTTGCTATGACATTATTATGATTATACTTTAATCAGAATAATAAATATTTCCAGGTATATATTTTTAAGACGATTTAAGAGAATGGCATGATTACAGTTATGAAGACGACTTTTTTCCCTTCGATATCATATTAACTACAATAATGCATTTAAAACTTCATTGTTTTGAAATTCGGTATATCTTAGACATTTGCCAATTTAAATGTGTCAGGAATCTATTACGTTTTGACACAGGTACTTTTTAGAAGATAATCAGCGTTACTTTGATGCATCATTCACGAAGTCGGTTTTACCTCGAAAAAAATTGTTTCAGGCACATTCTATTGTAAATATGACACAACAGTTTGGCAATTTTTTCAGGCATACCGAATATGAAAAATTTATTATTTACGTTATTGTATTTAACTTAAGGATGACACACAAAAGTCAGATACACGTACAAAAACCTAGCCAGGCGTCATTCTAATGAATGATTTTGACAAATAAAAATATTCCTGAGAATATATTTCCCTTAACAACATCACCTTCGATTTACTGTACATGGATTAAAATCGACAAAAACAAAAAAACTGTTTTTGGTATAAGCCGTTGGGTGCATGACGACCGACTAATCGTGTATTTTATAACCCTCGCACAAAATTTCAGACCATTTATTCACAGTAAATATCATCCATATAATGTATACAATTTCAATTGTATCAAATACAGTCGACTCCACTTATAACGAACTTGCTTATAACGAAATATCGTAAATAGCGAACTAAATCAGAAATCCCCTGCGGATTCCTTCTTTATTTTATAAAAAAAACACATCGCTTATTGCGTACTCGCTTATAACGAATTTTCGGCTATAGCGAACAACTTTTTCAAGCCCAAAACGGCGAAAAACACATAAATTTTCTCGGTTTAAACAAACTGTTATAATTGAAATATCGGGATTCACTCGAATAAAGATCAGTACATAAATACTGCTATCCGATAATCATTCAATCGAGTTATTGCATAGTTAAGTTATGGCTTCAGGGAAGGAAAAGTTTTGATAAAATATTCGCACAACATAATTATCTACTTGTTTTTCGCAGCCTCGTAATACCCGATTATTACAAAATTAACGATTCTCTGTATGCATATTAACCAAATGATAACAAACAAATAGCAAATTAATTCAAATGGTAATCATTTTATGGACATGTCCTACATGTCTAAATACATGTACATAATATATATTGTTTAATAAAATGTCCCGAATATATGTATTATAAGAGTTAGATTTTGTGGGAAGGGCTGTTGCTAATGTTGTTATAACTTGTACTACAAGTCTTGTAGCCCAACCCGTTTGCTCTATACTTATATATATACATTTGTTTTTTGTGTTATTCATATCTTACATGTTTGATATAGTTGCAATAAAATATTATTAAACTAATCTAAATAAAACTACCGCTGCCGTAAAAAACGATTACACTGGTGACAGATATGTCTTTTTCCTGGCTAATTTGTCCACATAACAATTCAGCATGTATTTGCTTCTTCGCTTTTAGCGAACTTCGGACATAACGAACGATATTTAAATGTCCCATTGAATTCGTTTATAAGCGGAGTCGACGTATTTAACAAATATTATATTTAGTATTATAACAACCCTGTCTCGTATCTAAATTTTCAAATTATATATAAAAAATAAGGTGTGGTCAAGTACAGAACCCAAGGCTGAATGGTTACAACTAACCAAACACGAAAACTTCGTGACTAAGTCTTGCCTTCTGGGTGCCCTACTTGAGTGTGTCGGGGGCCGCGTCCTGTGAACGTTGCCTTTGCCTTGTATCTTTATTCTTGTTTTATTAATTCAGCTGAAGGACGAATTTAACCCTATAACCGAGTTTTACACTGATTTTATGCTAGAGAAGAGGATGATCCCTCTCTTTGAAGATTTCACTACATGCAGCGTGTTTTCCAAATTTGTAAATTGGTTTATTTGTAGACAGTTTAAGACTTAATACCGTGTGTTTGACCCGTGACTATCAATGACAGCTTGACAGCGCCTTCTTATACTCCCTTTAAGGTTTCTGATCGTTCTAACGGGTGTGGCTGCCCATTCTTAGACCATCATGGCTCCATGCTCATGGATGGTTCTGGGTTGCAGCTGACGAGCTGAAATTCTAACCTGCAGCTCATTCCTATTGAATTTAAGTCAGGTGAACGAGCTGACCAGTCCATGCGCTCAATAGACTCCCTCTCTAGGTAGTCCTGGACCTATGGGGGCGAGCATTATCTTCCATTAAAATGAACTGATCGCTACTAGCTCCAGCATACAACCTTACCTGGTCATCTAAGATGTCACCTATGTATCGCTGACCTGTCAATGTGCCTCTTTTTACCACAACCAGGTCGGTTCGTCAATCCCAGCTGATGCCTCCCCACACCATAACTGACCAACCTCCGAGGTAGTCATGCTCAGAAATATTTGCAGCCTGAAACCGTTCACCTCGTCCAGACTCTAGCACGCATATCTGTGAAGGCTACGCAGAACATGGACTCATCAGTGAACATAACGTACATGTATTACGTTTTGACACAGGTACTTTTTAGAAGATAATCAGCGTTACTTTGATGCATCATTCACGAAGTCGGTTTTACCTCGAAAAAAATTGTTTCAGGCACATTCTATTGTAAATATGACACAACAGTTTGGCAATTTTTTCAGGCATACCGAATATGAAAAATTTATTATTTACGTTATTGTATTTAACTTAAGGATGACACACAAAAGTCAGATACACGTACAAAAACCTAGCCAGGCGTCATTCTAATGAATGATTTTGACAAATAAAAATATTCCTGAGAATATATTTCCCTTAACAACATCACCTTCGATTTACTGTACATGGATTAAAATCGACAAAAAACAAAAAAACTGTTTTTGGTATAAGCCGTTGGGTGCATGACGACCGACTAATCGTGTATTTTATAACCCTCGCACAAAATTTCAGACCATTTATTCACAGTAAATATCATCCATATAATGTATACAATTTCAATTGTATCAAATACAGTCGACTCCACTTATAACGAACTTGCTTATAACGAAATATCGTAAATAGCGAACTAAATCAGAAATCCCCTGCGGATTCCTTCTTTATTTTATAAAAAAAACACATCGCTTATTGCGTACTCGCTTATAACGAATTTTCGGCTATAGCGAACAACTTTTTCAAGCCCAAAACGGCGAAAAACACATAAATTTTCTCGGTTTAAACAAACTGTTATAATTGAAATATCGGGATTCACTCGAATAAAGATCAGTACATAAATACTGCTATCCGATAATCATTCAATCGAGTTATTGCATAGTTAAGTTATGGCTTCAGGGAAGGAAAAGTTTTGATAAAATATTCGCACAACATAATTATCTACTTGTTTTTCGCAGCCTCGTAATACCCGATTATTACAAAATTATCGATTCTCTGTATGCTTTTTAACCAAATGATAACAAACAAATAGCAAATTAATTCAAATGGTAATCATTTTATGGACATGTCCTACATGTCTAAATACATGTACATAATATATATTGTTTAATAAAATGTCCCGAATATATGTATTATAAGAGTTAGATTTTGTGGGAAGGGCTGTTGCTAATGTCAATGAATGTTGTTATAACTTGTACTACAAGTCTTGTAGCCCAACCCGTTTGCTCTATACTTATATATACATTTGTTTTTGTGTTATTCATATCTTACATGTTTGATATAGTTGCTAATGTTGTAATAACTTGTACTACAAGTCTTGTAGCCCAACCCGTTTGCTCTATACTTATATATACATTTGTTTTTGTGTTATTCATATCTTACATGTTTGATATAGTTGCAATAAAATATTATTAAACTAATCTAAATAAAACTACCGCTGCCGTAAAAAACGATTACACTGGTGACAGATATGTCTTTTTCCTGGCTAATTTGTCCACATAACAAGTCAGCATGTATTTGCTTCTTCGCTTTTAGCGAACTTCGGACATAACGAACGATATTTAAATGTCCCATTGAATTCGTTATAAGCGGAGTCGACGTATTTAACAAATATTATATTTAGTATTATAACAACCCTGTCTCGTATCTAAATTTTCAAATTATATATAAAAAATAAGGTGTGGTCAAGTACAGAACCCAAGGCTGAATGGTTACAACTAACCAAACACGAAAACTTCGTGACTAAGTCTTGCCTTCTGGGTGCCCTACTTGAGTGTGTCGGGGGCCGCGTCCTGTGAACGTTGCCTTTGCCTTGCATCTTTATTCTTGTTTTATTAATTCAGCTGAAGGACGAATTTAACCCTATAACCGAGTTTTACACTGATTTTATGCTAGAGAAGAGGATGATCCCTCTCTTTGAAGATTTCACTACATGCAGCGTGTTTTT